AGTCTTGGAGCCAGTGAAAAGCTGTGGCACTGTGCTGGGAGCTGAAGTGCCAGCACCACAAAAGAGAAGTGGAGACAGAAGCTTAAGCCTCCTTAACTACCTCCTGTTTACTCTGGTTTTGGCCAGTAGCATCTCTCTATTTGGGCTCCCTAATCATCCATGTTGTGAGTAATCTTGAAGCTTTGTGCGTGTTTTGCAAAATAGTCTGGCAAACAGGCAAAAGGAAATAGAGCAAAGTAATTTTTGTGCCATCTCTAAAAAAAAAAAAAAAAGAAAAGCCTACAATACCTAGATACAAAGATTTCAATATTTTATTTATTTTATTTACAGTAATGTTTTAGAAGAAAATAGATGCCTGATATAAACAGATTTAAATCTTTTGAGGCCAGCGGCATCATTTGCAATGGTTAAGATGTGACTTTTTCCTCTTGCAAACTCCCTTTAGCAAGAAATAAGACTTTCTGAGTTGGAGTTGTTGAATTTAGTAATGAATTCTGTGAAGTTTAAAATACACTGCTAAAGCAAGTACATCCTTGCATTAACAATTAGGCCTACTTGTACATTTAGGAATGTAATTACTCCCACTGGAGACATATTTTCACTACCTGTGCGAGTTAAAGACAAAAGAAATGCATATATTTTTATGAATAGCTGCTTGCACATTTTTGATCTGGAAACAAGAGGTTCTCTGAAACACTCTGGAAAATGTATTTTAAAAAAAGCATGTTGCTAAATCTCTCTTTAAGTTCAGTAAATTATTTTTCTTCTATTTTTTTATTTGATAGCCACAGAAGGTTGGTGGCTGAATAAGAACAGATACACTTTTGAATGGGGGGGGAAATTATAACTGTGACAAAACCAGTTCAATTCAAGTTTATTCTTAGATGCTTAAGTCAATACATTAATTCAACCTCAGTACATTAATTTGTGATAGTTAAAAACAGTCAATGTGTTTTGTTTTATTTGTTATTTAGTTGAGCAGATGGTAATGGTTTTGACACAATTCAGTTTTTTATTTTTCTTCTTTTCTTTTCTTGAAAAAGACAAGGCTCTTTTTCCCACTTTGTCACAGCTGGTTACCAATCAATCTCAATTCACGGTACAGTGATGATAGCACATGTTGTTCAGGGGCCAAATCTGATTGGGTTGCATTTTCAGCAGTGTTTCATATCAAAAAAAATTGTGTCTGTATGGCAGTGACTGTCAGCACACTATTGTACAACTGTCATTAATCAAAACTAGCAACAATGAATGCATTCATATGTGCCAGAGACTGCCAGATTTCACTCAAAATCACCCAATTTCTATTAGAATTTCCTCACCAGCAGTGTTTTCTCATCTGCCTCTTGTTTCTTTCTTTCTTTCTTCCTTTCCAGTCCCCTGCCAGCCCCTTCCTTCTCGGGTAATTAAAGGCAGATCTGCTCTATTACTTGTAGAACAGAAATTATTTAACGTGGTGCCCAAAAGTGGCTGGTTCATATCTGACACAGACTGACTGGCTGTTTAAAAGACCTTTCCCAGCTCAGTCTGATGGCTGAAGTCTAAGCTAAACTGAATGGTGAAGCACCTCTGAATGTTTAACAAAGAGAAGTACTTAAAATCAATTAGATGGCCATAAATATGTGAAGCTGATGTCTGACACCCCATGGTTTCAGCTGAATGTTAGCATTAATTGGCTGGGAGTCAGCAATATTTGGGCAATATGTCACAAGTTGTTTCTTGACACTGCACATGTTTTGAAGGCATTGCCTTCTTAGTGCGCTGGCTACACTGAGGAACAATTTAACCACTGCACTCTGGTTTCCTGCCGTTCCATGGTCAGTCCAGGAGCCTGGTAACATCTCTCTGTGATTGGTAGTAGCAAAGAGAAAGGCCCTAATCCTGATTCCCAAGTGTTCAGTAGCACTAATCCAGATGAGAGTGAACTTTCACAAAAACTCAGGCGAAAACTCCTTGCTATGGGAATACGAGGCTGTGGGACAGAGAGGGGAGGAGACACTGTTCAAGGCTGCACAGGTGGATCCTGAACACATATTCAGTCTTCACTCCTTGTTACTTCATGGTCCCTTTCTTGCACAAGCTTCTTGTGCTGCTGTGGATCAGTCTAAAAGCCAGTTTTCTTCCTGTCTGCTTCATCTGTCAGAGCTCTTCACTGAACCGTGGTGACTTCTGGGGACAGTGCGGGTGGAACAGATGACTGAGGGGCAGCGTATCAATACTTCAGGACAGCAGATGGTTATAATGTCCCATGGGCCCATCTATGTATGAATCTAATTGCTAGATGACACATTCTGTCAGGGTGGTCCAAAAACCCAGTATGGCCTTGTTGGAGAAGCGGACTGGGAGAGCTGAACCTGCCCTTGAAGTAATTGATAACTGGACCGTGAGAGCGACGTGTTTACGCCACCCTCCGTTTCACGGCCCGAGTGGGAGATGATGGCTGCACCCTTGCTCTGCGTCCTGGCATGCCATGCAGCTGGCTCCTTCCCCCAGCAGCCTTTGCACAATTTGCATGATTGGCAGGTGCAGGCATAAAGGCTGCCTGAGCCTCCAAGGCAGCTGGCTGGCATGCCGTCACCGGCACATCGGGACGGGGAGAGGAGCGAGTCAGCTGCAGCCCACAGCAGACTGGAGGGCCCTGTCCCAGGCCTCCTGCATCCCAGTTCAAGCAGGCCCTCAGTCAGATACAGTCCTGCTGCCTCTCTGTTTTTCTCTCGGCAGCGCTAAAAGGGAACCACAGGGGTGTTATTTGTCCTATTTAAAAAAATAAAAAATAAAAAAGTCAATGACTAATTGTTGCCTAGCTTTATAACTCTGATTCCTATATCCAATTCATATTTATATTACAACTGATCTTAGTTTTCTCATCTTACAGGAACTGAATGCAAATTTATGTTTTTAGACTCCTAGGGCTGGCCTCATGTCAAGAAAATAAGCATTTTCTCTTTTCTGCAACTCTGCGGTCACCAAGGACAAGTAACTGCTCCGTCAGTGTGGGATACTGTTGTCCTATCCTTGAGATTTTCAAGGGGGGAAAATTTGCATTTTCTCTCTTATGTAAACAGTGATTTCTGTTTGCCATTGACTAATGCAGCACAGCATGCAAAAATGACATAATTTGTGAGCAGTCAAGAAGAAATGTTCCTCAACTGCATGTGGCTGTTGAATGTAGTTGCAATAGATCTGTAGTGCTCCAGAAACGGCATCTTAAGTATTTCTAGCATCATAACTTCCCCCCCCACCCAATAGCATTATACTGGCAAAAGACACATCCCTACAAGTTTCTGAAGTTTACCATGGCATCTCCTTGACACATTTCTTATTTGTTACTTAAACCTGAGGTACTGCATGTACATACAATTAAGTGTAACTCCTAGGAAAATGGGTATTATATGTGTTTATGTTAACTCTGACAGAATGGTTAACCTCAATTTGGTCTTTTGAAAATTATTTCTTATTAATTAAGAGAATGGACTTACTGAATACAGAATGAAGTTGCATTGTAGTGAGTGTGAAAAGATGTCTTGACAATAATGTTGTAACTGATATCTAACTAGACCTAACAGAACTCTTAAATGCTTCAACATATAAGACCTTTTGAGTTAAGATGTTTTGAAGTCTGTTAACATTCAGTGTTCTCTCTAGAAATCTATATTAAAGGAACCAATAGCAATCTCTATTATGCACAAAAAAATTATGTTTCATGTTCCCAAAGCATTTAAAAATGCTTACAGAGCTCGACAACATTCCTCTAAGTAATTGCATTGCATTTTTACTCATCAAAACTTTTAAGGGTGCTCTTCCATATGAACAAGTCTGTAAGTTCTTTACTGTATAGCAAAGAGAAGGTAAATCAGTCCTTCTGAAGTTGTGTCATGGTTGTGAATGCAGTGAGAAATATTATTGGCATCTCCTGAAGTCTTGATCTTTCTTTAGTTTCATATTCCTATTTCACTGTTTGGTAAATGAGAATCTGAAGCCAACTTCAGGTTGAAGATGACTTAATGTATAATGGGCTTACTATGTGAAGAAGAAATGTTGTTGAAAATAATTTTACAAGAGAGTATTTCAAGATTAAAACATCCATACTGAAATTCAGGGTTGTCCTGATTTGGGGACCAAATACATTTCATACAGGATGAAGTCTCCCGTTGACTTTAATGAGCTTTGGATGAGAGCCTAAAATTGTTTGTTAAGCATGACTTCTGCAGGATAATAACAATTTAACTGAAAATATTTTTCTGGGTATAAGCACTTTAAATGCCTCGAGAATGAATGTTCAGTGTGTGTTGGAATACTTTATATTAATTCACATTTTATACATTTTAGAGTTATTTCAGCAGGAGAAACAAAGAAATGGACAAAGCGTAATTGAATTGTTTCTAATGTGTTTAAAGAAAGAGAAAATGTTATTGTCTACCCTCAATGAATCATTTTGGGGTATTTCTGTGAAATTGATAAATCTGCTTTAATGTGCCTCTTCAATAAATGTCACATTCCAGAGCTTGAATATATTTTTTATTGTCTGCAATCGGGTAGTGTGAGATCCTACCAACATGCTCATGGTTCCCTAAGGGATTGCTGCTGTAGGGTAAAACTGTACATAAAGGGAAATTTCCAAATCAGCAAAAGGTAAAATGTGTAGCTCACACAGTCTAAAGGCATGATAAACCTGAGCTGTCATGTATTGATAACTGATGTCTGATAGCCTAATTTTATCTTATTGCTCTAGTTAAAGGACAAAATGAATGATATTATTAATAAAGCCCTAATACTGAGTGAACATAGCAATACTAATTTTATGTAAAGTTTCTAACTAATGCAGAGTGCAATAAAAATGTCACGAAGATTAATGCTTGGCGGAATTATCTAATGCCAGATAATAATTTATTTTCCAAAGTTGGCTCCAAGATAGATTCAGAGTGGCGTAATCCAGGTGGTAGTTTTTGTTCCTCTCTGTTGTCCACAAAACGAGTTTTCATTCTTTTCCTGTCACACAGGTATGACATCAAAGATGACTACACTCTGCGCATCAAGAAAGCCATGAGCACGGATGAGGGAACCTACACTTGCATTGCTGAGAACAGAGTTGGAAAAGTGGAAGCCTCTGCTACCCTCACTGTGCGAGGTGAGTGTGTCCTGTATGGATAAACTGCTTTCTGATGGAATGGGCCACATCCTCCTCTGGTGTTTTTGGGTTTCACATACCCTTGGCAGTTGTGGATGCGGCACTGATTTACATCACTGGTGAAATCCTGGCCCTGGTGATATCTCAGGCAAAATTTTAATTGACTTCAACAGGATAGGCTCTCCCTGCAGTTAAAGAACTGTGTTTTTATTGAAGAACATATGCATATTTATGCATAAGCAAGCACTACATAACCATGGGCATATCTGAGCCTTCGGTTTAGGCCATTATTCACATTTCTTTCTCTAAGAGGTACAAGGAGTATTGTAACTATATCAATGACAAACATAATGCAGATAATATTATTATGTGATTAGCTCTGCTATAATTAAACTCTCTGCCATTACCCTTTATCTGCAAGATAAACCATAGGCAAAGGAAAGAGAAAATCCTAATTAAATTTTATAAGTATTGCAAGGTAAAAACTAACATATTCTCTCCTAAAATATTTGTGGTCTGTAGTACCCACTCTGTTTATGTGCTGCTGTTTGATTTGGTAAGGAGGCTTTAAGGCTGGTAGAATAATGAGTTGACAAAATATCTTTTGTGACAGTAGATATAGACATGCTAAAGATTAAGGGGAGAGAAAAAGTTTGTAGGCTAATATTTCCATATGAGTAAACAGAATATAATAGTCACTACTACATTCCAAAAGATAAGCAGCAATTTGGCACAATGGATATCATGCAGACACTATTTCACAGTTTAGTGGTGCATGCTGACGGGTTTCAGTAGAGCTGTGAAAGGTTAATAAAAACATTTTTAGCTTTATCTGTCCTCCTCTTTTCATACACATTAAATCAAATGTTCAAAGTCTCAATGGATTGCTTTATTAGAACTGGGGTCAACTGACCCAAGAGGCCAGCTTCCATTTCCATCCATTTAATGCATGGACACAGTTCAGTTTAATTTGCTGAATTCAAAGGGACAAAAAAAAAAAAAGCACCAAATGGCTTTGAAGGGGAGAGATCTTAGTATGTAACAAAGAAAAGAGAGTATTGTGATAATCCATCTGCTGAAATACTACCTCAGTGTTCGCTTTAGACCATAGTGACAATGCAGCTCTTCCCACTTTAAGCTGAAGAAATAGGTTTACCTGCTACATGCTTATGTAAGAGATTGTTCTTCTGTATTGTAACATGAGAAAAACAGTCACCACGGTGAACTCCCAGAAATAGTCTCTCTCTGTTCCTTTGTCACAGGCAGGATCACAGTATCCCATAAATCTGGTAACCAATTCACTAGCCTTTAAACACTCCTGGAACTGTGTCCAGTGTATACATTACTGGAGCAAGCCTTTCAGATTTGCTACCCAGACTGGTGATATAAACAGTAGTTAGAACCAAGACAAAAAATCCTTTGAAATCACCCAAGCTTGAACACAATGAAAAGTGAAACAACAGAAAAAAACTCAAGGAAATATATAATTTAACTGATTTTCCTGCATAAAAGTAGGTTTTTATTGTCTTGTGTATTTTTCCCCCTGGGTTTGTCATTTACGGTCAAATACATAACGTTTATCCAGCTCTGAGGAAGCCATGGTATTATAAGCTTATTAAATGTTCAGGATATGACAGAAAATGAGAAAAGTGAAGAAATTCGCCAGAGAAGTCTATTACTCCGAATTTTCTAAAAACAAAGGACTAGGAAAACTCCCATTGACTTTAAAGGGACCATGAGCAATGGTCTTTTTAATTAAAGAAAGTCTTAATTCTGAATTCTTCAACCTTTAACAGTTTTACCTGACACTAGTTTTACTGTAACCACTTGTCATGTAGAGGAGCAAAACCACTTAGCATTTCAAAATTTACCTTAAGGGTGCCTTGGTCCTTGCAGGTGCCAAGTGGTTGCATATGGCAACCTGACAGCAGTGCAATCCTCAGCTCCCAGTCAGGAAGGTTGAATTACACTGTCACAAACAACACCAGTCTGAGTTCTGTGACTCAGGCTTCATGCCCTCTCTTGGAAAGATGCAAATCACTTACACCTTGTCTTTCTGCAGAAGAAGGAATATGTTCATAATTCTAAAAGCCAAAAAGTGTTCCAATAGATGACGGGTGAGAAAGGGCAGCAGGCTCGAAACAGTTAAATGAAGTGGGTATCCCAAAGTAGGGATAGAGCCATGGAAAGATTGAGAACTAAGAAGGTCCTTGCATGCTCTGTTACCTCTGAATCTGCATGTCTTATGTTTGACCCTAGCCTGCACATAAGCACACAGACTTGGTAATCTTCTTAAAAAAAGAAAAAAAAGAAAAAAATTGTGCTGTTGCTCAGCAATGTGTAACTATTTCTGCTGCAGAAACAAGGGACGCTTTGCCTACACAGATGCAACCTGGAGACAATTTTATGCACAACTTTTCAGCTCTTCTGAAAGGGATGTCTATATTTTATTAACAGGGGGACTGGCAGCCCTCTTCCCCAGCACAAGTATAATGAAGGGCTGTTGCTATAATCAAGAAATCACTTGTTGCAGCAGCAACTTTCAATCTTGATATCAACCTGAAACAGTATTAACCTGTCGATCATTTAGCAGCATTTTTTTTAGGAAGTAGAGGTTACCTAAGGAGTGATTTGGGAGGTTCTGGGTTGAAGTCCCTGTGGCCATTTCAGCCTATTTGTTATATTTTCATCAGCAGTGTCAGTGAGGAAAAAAAACCCCTGTGCTGTAAGCTTTCATTATTGAATGAGAAAAACTGTCCTGGGCTTTCTGTAGCCCTCACTGCTGTAGTGACTGGTCATGCTTAAAATTCAATTGGTGTTTGACTCAGAAAGCAAAGGCCTTGCATCTACTGGCATGACATTTGGCAGTGTGCAGCTTAAATTGATGTGTTCATCGGGATCTAAAAGTTTGTGCTAATGCAATGCAATTTTTCTTTTATCAGGCATTAACAATGATACTTGATGATGGCATGCGAAGATAAATAAAAATGTTTCTCAGAGAATGGTTCCAGTCAGCTTGTTCAGATGCTATGCTCAAGTAAATGGGATAATAGTGGCACGTGACTGACCGATAACAACAGTAAACATTTTACTCAGGCTGTCATTTGAGGGGTTAGCAATCATGGTAGTATCCATAGTGGAAGGTAACATTACACGTCATGCATTCTGACAGATATTCTTTTCTTTTTTTAATTTCTTTTTTATGTTCTCACTACACCATTGTAATGTCAACAGCTCGCCCCGTTGGTAAGTAACCATCCTTCTATCCATTTTAGCATGGCTTCATGCAATGCTTCATCTTTCATTTGCAGCAGCATTTAACTGGCTGAAACGAGCAGCCAGCGCTTAATAGTCGTAACTGTCTAACACCAGGCAAGTGATTTTGACTGACAAAGTGCTGTTTCTGAACTTTGTATTTTCTGCTGTGTCGTGTATAAACTCATTTTGCCAAATCACCAGCAAGTGCCAATCAGAGAAACGGGGGTGGGTGTGGTGATACTGAGCCAAAATCACTCATTTAGATGTTTTTAATGGTCTGTTTGTGGGCCTGGTATAAAAGCCATTGAAATCAAGAGAAAGGGTTGTATTGACTTTGCTGAGCTTCTACCAGGCCCTAAACGATCAGCTCATCCTGCTTTTATTGCACAGCAGTAATAGCACAGGCTTTGCATGTCCCGTCTTTCTTGTGTCTTTCAAAAGAGCTCTGAAATGAAGTGGTCCTGAAATCAAAGAGGGGATGGAGTAGATTTCCGTGCTTCTTAAGAAAGTTCATCACTGATTTTTGCCTTTGGGTCATCTTGGAGTGCAGTTTGAAATGCACTGCATAGGATGCAGACTGTTTTGAAAAACAAGTCCTGAGGAAGACAACCTCTGAATTTTTTTATTCCCACACTGAAAATTTTCCTATGCCTTTGAAATTCTGAAAATGTACAAAAAATACAGCTAAGCATAATGGAAATTTTGCAACTGTCAGTAGCTGAAATTCACTTTTGGTGTTCAGAAATATCCTGAACATACTATTTAATTTTCTTTCGTGGATGGTTACTCTGTGCCTATGTGGATTTAGTTTAATGAGTTGCACTGCTCCTCTGATTTTTGTAGTTTGTGTTTAGATGTGTCTTTTCGAATAATATGGTTACTCCGATGTTTTTGGATTAGTGTAAAAAGTTGATACTGCTCTTTATGGAGATTGCTGAACAGGTTGGTCTTTTTTTATTTATTCAAAACTTTTAGATATGTGTTTGACTAAAGTCCGTGAGTTTGAAGTCATCTCAGCTCTTCACTCTTCCAAGTTTGGAGGAAGGTTAGAATAATTGAAAGATAAAATCCAGGTTAAGCCTCTTTTTCCAGAACTAAGGTGATCCTATCTTATTAGCTTCCTTGAACTAGCAAACATAGAGCCAAGCCAAATACCTCCACAGTCACGGCTGGAGAATTCCCTGTGCAGAATAGAAATTTGCTCTTCTCCATTTGGGGTTTTGATAGCAAGCTTTAAATCCAAATCACTACTGTATTACTTTGGCATTATGCTGGTTCTTAAGAAATTAATTCCCAAGAGTTGTAACGGTGTAAAAATGGAGTAAACTTACAAGAAAATTTTCCATTTTTTAGAAAGTGTAGCATGAATTTAGTGTGCTTTTAAGGTAAATCTTTCATGTCAGGGGATGCTGCTTCTTCATGTACTAAGAAATGCTGCAGGATCAAAACTATTTTACTTCTAGGTATTTTTCTCACTTTGCTGAATCTTAGAAAAAAAAGGCAAGAAAAAAAATCACAAAGTAGAGACAGTTTCAGGCTGTGTGAAAGCCACATAAAACAGATGACTAGAGATTCGTAAGAAAATGATAGGTTTCAGCAGTGTTGATGGTGTCTCATTTCAGAGCACTGATTCTTTTTGAAGGCTTTTCAGGCCATTGAGTCATCCCTGATTCCATCTCCAAAGCTTATTCAGCAGCTCTTGGTCTCCATTTACTTTATGTCCAGGTATATGATCCCTTTGTGTGATCATGCTGAGCTCAATTTCACATATTCCCTGCCTAGGCTATTTTATATTGTTGCAAGAGAAGATTCTTCTTTTACATAATTTATTCAGGAAACTAAAATTAGAGTCGTTGATCTGAAAATAATTATCGCATGGGCACATGATCTTTATCAAATTATTTAATTTCAAAATTATCTTTGTGACTTGTGAAGAGATTGTTGAGTAACTAAGTCCAACCCCAAAGATGTTTGACCTACAGAACTCCCATACAAGTGTGTATCTCGTGATTGCTGTGTAGAAGCAGATCATTGTCTGTCAATCACTTTTATGAGATCCTGTACCTGCAGACAATGATAGTGTCTACCTTTATTGACTTTTGTGCTTAAGTACCTGAAATCAAGCTGATTTCTACAGTTCATAGCTCTGTTCCACTCAAGAACAGGCAAAGCAGGCAGCTACCTAACCTGTTGTTTTTTTTTTAAATTTAAAGCCTAGTAAAGCAAACCAAAGTAGCTTCACTCTCCACCAAGAAACCCAAGTGATCCTCTGTTAAAATTATCATTTGACAAGAATGGTGAGTCAAAGAGCATTTGTGGCATTTTGTTATTCAGGAAGTTAACTGGAAGTCAGAGCAAAAATACCTCTCCTTGCCGAAAGGAAGCTAAAGCAAACACTACTTAATGTTATTAAGCTCGCAACTCTCTGGGAGATTGACATTTTAACAGAAGTATATTTATATATTTATGTATATGTTAAAGTGTAGGGGAGCTATTTAAAAGTTTATATTCTTTTGTGACACCAGAGAATTATCTAGGTACTTCTACCTTTCATCACTGTCTCTAATTCAAAGCAGACATGTTTTGTCTTTATTGTGCTTTAAACAAGACCAAACAATTCTTTTTTTTCCAAAGTCTTGTCACTGAAGAACAGAGAAATACATTCTTAATGTTCCAGGATTGTAATCCTTGTTGCAAATGGAATAATTTTTGTTTTCTGGTGAGTTTTTGTCTGTTTCAAATATTTCTATTCTGATATTTTTATTTAAATTTCAGCTTGAGTCAAAATTCAGGAGGGGGGTTGCCAGTGACTATCTTTGGTTCAAGCAGCTATTAACAAATGGTATATACTACATAGATAAAATGAGGTATGGTTCTGCCCGAGGTGGATGGCAACTGGTGAATTTAACAGGTCTATGCCAGATTATTCATCATGGTTGAATTTGCTGCTAGGAATACATGCGTTGCCCATTTCTAAAATAGATGTTCTCTTATTTATAACCTTTTGAAAAGATTTCTGACAGGATTCGCAACAGATGGGTTTAGGAAACAAGATATTATCCCTGTTTAGATCTTTTTCTGGAGTTATTTCACTCATTAGATGGATTTTTCCAGATGAATTTTCTCACTTTTGCATTCTGCTGTATTTCTTATGGTAGGTGGGCAGGAGAATAACTGCTAAAAGAAGCACAATAGTTGGGAAGAGCCCAAAAGTTTCATATATTCCCATTGACAATGACACTCATTTTAGAAGCAGTTACATACTGCTTTGAGACAGAAGACCTTCAAATAGAAGATCTATGAAGATCTGTCTGATGTTCCAGTTACTTTTTTAATAATCATTCAAAAAGTCATTCAGATGACAGAGTGCTACTCAGTTTGCAAATTGATTTCAACAAAGTCCAAGTGAAAAGTCAGTTCTTTGCATTTTGGTTGCTTTGCAGTAAGTCGGGTTTACTCGGTTTGTTGTCATACGCTATAACTCATCTTCCCAGAAAGAAGTGACTCGCAGCAAAAAGCTGGACAGTTTTGCCACCTGGATAAAAATCAAGTATTTGGAATTAACTAAGGAAGTAAAGGGAGACCAAGTTACAAAATCTTAACTCCCCTACCATGTTGGAGAAGAGACAAACAGATAAGACACCTGCCAGGAATTTTCCAAATTTCTCATTAATTAAATGTAGTCTATTCGTATTTTAAATGCAATGTGACTCTATGATGCATTTCATTCTGAACTGGGAGGTTTTCACAACATAAATCAGCCTGGCATGACTTAATGGTCTATTAAGGATGGTACAGCATGAAACATAATAGAAAGGGCTGTATTTTAAACAAGGCTGTATTAGGTATTGTGGCTAGAAATTACGTTGCTCAGATGGTTCAGATTGGTAAGCGAGAGAGAATTCTCTTTACTCTCCTTCATCCCAACTCTTTCAGGGAGAGTCTATATAGGATGAATGCTCTTTATTTTTATTACATTCATGAACATATCACCTTCACTTGAGACACTGAGGATATATAAAATATCAGTAATGTCGATTCATCTGTGATAGAAGAGATGAGATCATGCTTGGCACTACGGTGCCATCTTTCAGTGGCACAAATCTCCAGTCTATATCAAAACGTGCTGTGTTGCCTCTCAGCTACCTCATACAGAAATTTTCAGAAGAGGGTAAGGACATCAAGGGACACTAGGCTTTTTGGATCTGTTTCTTCCTTAAATGAAAGAATAAGACATCACAGTTGTTTAAAAAAATAGGCAAATTCTTCAGATTAAAGAAAAAAGGTTGCCATAAAATGGAATTCAGATTTCTTCGTATACCAGTAAGAGATTAAAATATGGAGCTAACTTGTTCTGGTATTTCATAGGCTTTTAAAGAGCAGTCTAAAAATCTTGGAGTCCTTAGCGTGTCTACTTTGACAAAAGTTTACTAGATGAACTTAAGTTGAATCATAAATTTTGGATGTCATAGAAATAGACTGTTTGCAATGTGTGGGCCAGAATGGCTCTGCAAGTGGACACTGAGCACATTAACCACCAAGCACTTGAGTGCTGGTTCACAAAACTCAGCTTCATGTCCAGCTCCTCCAAATCTTCTTAGGTTTGCCAGATAGAGGTCAAAATAGAAAAACAGAAGATCTGATAGAAGATTCTTCTTTGAAGATAAGCATGAAAAATGACAGTGTATGTTCTTGAATTATAAGCATGTCATACTGTGGCATCCTGCTCGTTCCACTGTGGCTCCAGGTGCCAGTTCTCATGCTGTTTCTCTTAGAGAAAACCCACTTACAGCCAATGCAGGAAGTAAGTGATCAAGCACCCTATTTTTATTTATCTTCTTTTTTTTTAATTGCTGAACTCTAGCTCGGGAAAATTTTAAGAAATTTAATGCATACATGTTTTTAACTTTGCCAAAATGTGCTCAAATCATGGGAATTATTTTCTTACTTCAGTGGCTTCTGAGTATCTCCCTAAGTCTTTGAAGATT